CGAGTCGGCGACATGGGCGGGCGCGGTATCATGGCAACGTCGACAACGGTAGACACGATGATGATAGTAGCGATGCTGGTGACGATGTTGGCAACGACGAAGGCGCGGCCAGTGCGGGCGCCGATGCTGATCACGCCGACGACGATGACGGGGTCCTCGCGTCGGTGATGAAGATTCGGGGAAGAGTTCGACATGCGCGCGCGGCCGACGCGCGAGTGACCCGCATGGTTTTCTTTGACAGTGATCGCGCCCCCTCAGCACGCGCGCAAGGGCGTGCGAATGATGTCAGCATGCGGCGCGAGAGGCCCGCTTGGCAGAGTTCCATGAAAATGTTGAAAACCGATGGTTTCCCCAAGAATTCGCAAGAGCGCGAGCGCACATTTTCTGAAAACTGATGTTGCGAAACCATGCGATGTTGTATGTTTGTTGGACACCCGGTGTTGAAATCGCTCCGCAATCTAAGGTTTTTGACGGATTTCGGCATGCGTGCGCGACGACGCGCGCGCGCACTTCGTCCCATCGATTGCAAAGGATTCTCGCGACAGCACGCGCGCAAGGGCGTTCGAACGATTTCGACATGCGCGCGCGAAGCCCGTTTTGTAGCATGGTATGAAAAAGATCGCTTGGTGGTTTAATACAAAACGGTTGTCTCAAGAATTCGCGAGAGCGCGCGCACAAGCTTGTTTTGGAAATCCGTGTTGCGAAACCCTGTGCTTTGATATGTTTTTGGGACACTCGATTTCGAAATACCCACGAAACCCAAGGTGTTCGAAAGATTTCGGCATGCGCGCGACGACGCGCGCGTGCGCCCTTCGTCTAATTTGTTGCAATGGATTCATGAAAACTTATGACTGGTGATAAAGGAGTGCGCGCGCATAATATTTGTTGCAGAGGGTGGCGGGGGGGGACGGATACCAGCTTGGCTGGGATGTTATGAGTTCATATTTGGGATGGACGGTGGGGCAGAAGAATGCGTAAATTGCAATACGAAAAGGGGAGGTGATAATCCCAGGGGGGTAAAGACTATTCTCTGTTTGGCAAGGAGAATATATATATAATTTTACACATATATATATATATATATATACATATATATATATATATACATACATACATACATACATACATACATATATAGTGCGATCTATGTTGTGCAATATACGTGGTGCCAGCTATGTGGCGGCAACGAGGCGGCGACGGGGCGGCGAAGGGGCGGCAACGGCGACAACATAGCCGCCAGACCGCCACCCAGGCCCAGTTCCTTAAACCACAAGCAAGAACCCCCAAGAGCAAGCCCTGCTTAGGGGGAAAAACAAAAAAAAAAAAAAAAAAAAGGAGGGGAAGGAGGAGGAGGACGGGGAGGATGGGAGGAGGAGGGCGGGGGAGGAGGAGGTAGGACGGAGGACGAAGGGAGAAAGCCAGAACGACGGAGGCACTAAAAGACCCGACGCCGTGTGCACGCCGACGCCGACCGCCGACTACGACGCCACGCGGCGGCGGCGGCCCACCGGCGGCGCGGCCGCCGCCGCAGGCGCCGCTGGCGCTGCCACGGGCGCCGCCGGCGCCGCCGCGAGCACCGCCGGCGCTGCCGCGGGTGCCGCTGGCGCCGCCAGCGCGGGCGAGGGCGGCGCGGCGGGAGCGGCGGGCGCGGGCCCGTCGGCGGGCCTGCCCCGTCGGGTCGCCGCTGCCGGGGTCGTCGTGGGATCGTCGTCGTCGTCGAGAGGCCAATCGGGGTCTTCGTCGCCGCCGCCCGCCGTCGCTTGGAGGGAAAGGAGATGACGACGACGACGACGACGACGACGACGACGACGACGACGACGACGACGACGACGACACTGGGGGCGACGGAAAACGCCGACAAGAAATACACTTACACTATTTCGCAAGATTGGGGATAACCTCGTCGAGATTGTCAGGATCGTCGTCTCTGCTTGCGCCAGCCGTTACAGATACACGGGGGGGCGCTGCCCAGGGGGTCGCAGTGCTCCGACCTCTGCGTATGGTGCACTCGCACTCCGCACTCTCAAGCACCACGCCTGCCTCCATCGCCTCTCTCCTGCTGCATATATTCCTGCTCCTCATCCTCCTCCTCCTCATCACCATCACCATCATCACCATCATCATCATCATCATCATCATCATCATCATCATCATCATCATCATCATCATCATCATCATCATCAGTCAACATCATCGTCAACCAAATCATCACCACCATCATCATCATCATCAGCAGCATCATCATCATCAGCCCCATCATCCTCATCATCATCGTTATCAGCATCATCATCACCACCACCATCATCATCATAATCAGAATCATCATCATCATCATCATCATCATCATCATCATCATCATCATCATCATCATCGCCATCATCATCATCAACATCATCATCACCATCGTCGCCATCCTCACCAATATCATCATCAGCATCAGCATCATCATCACCACCACCATCATCAGCAGCAGCATCATCATCATATTCATCATCATCATCAGCATCATCATCATTATCATCATCGTCATCGTCGTCAGCATCACCATCATCATTACCATCATCACCAACACCACCATCATCGTCATTATCATCATCATCATCATCATCATCATCATCATCATCATCACCATCATCAGCAGCAGCAATATTCTCACCACCACCATCATCATCCTCACCCTCATCATCATTGTCATCTCCCCTCCCCTCATCATCCATCTCATCCATCCTCCCACTCCTTCCTCCTCATCGTTCCTCCTGTGCGCCTCCTCTGAAATCCCCCCCAGTTCACCTCCGCCAACCCCTCCTTCCTACGCAATATTACGCCTCCCAAGCGGCTGCCTCACTGCCGAGCGCGGTTGCACCGTCGCTGGGCCTGGAAATCGGGCTCATGTGATTCATGCGGTGCCGGTGCAGTCGGCGCGCCCACTGAGCTGTGATTCATGCGGTCTTCGCTCCTACAGAACGAGGGGGAATGGGAAGAGGAAGGAGAAGAGGAAGAGACAAGAGGAGGAGGAGGAGGAGGAGGAGGAGGAGGAGGGAGGAAGAGGAAGAAGAGGAAGGGAAGAGGAAGAGGAGGAGGAAGAGAAGAAGAGGAAGAGACAAGGGGAAGAGGAGGAGGAGGGAGGAGGAGGGAGGAAGGGAAGAGGAAGAGGAAGAGGAAGAAGAGGAAGAGGATGCGGACGAGGACGAGGAGGAAGTGGAAGAGGAACAGGGAGAGAAAAGGGAGTGAGGACGTGGGTGAGGCGGGGAAGGAGGCTTCGGGCCACAGTGCTCCGACCTCTGCGTATGGAACACTGCATGCCACACTCCGCACTCAACCGCCACGCCTACCTCCATCGCCTCTCTCCTGCTGCTCATCTTCCTCCTCCTTATCCTCCTCCTCATCAGATTCGCCACCACCATCATCAGTCATCAGTCATCAGTCATCAGTCATCAGTCATCAGTCATCAGTCATCATCATCATCATCATCATCATCATCATCATCATCATCATCATCATCATCATCATCATCATCATCATCACCGCCATCATCATCATCATCATCCTCATCATCGTTATCATCATCACCACCGTCACCATCATCATCATCATCAGCATCATCGTCAATAACAACAACATCATTGTCGTCATCACCGTCATCGTCGTCATCATCATTACCATCACCACCAACACCACCACCATCATCATCATCATCATCATCATCATCATCATCATCATCATCATCATCATCATCATCATTATCATCATCATCATCAGCAGCAGCAGCAATATTCTCACACCACCACCATCATCATCCTCACCCTCATCATCATTGTCATCTCCGTCCCCCTTATCATCCACCTCATCCGTCCTTCCCCTCCTTCCTCCTCATCGTTCCTCCCGTGCACCTCCTCTGAAATCCCGCCCCTTCCACCTCTGCCAACCCATCCTTCCTACGCAATATCACGCCTCCCAAGCGGCTGCCTCACTGCCGAGCGCGGTTCCACCGGCGCTGGGCCTGGACATCGGGATCCTGTGATTCAGTCGGCGCCCCTTGAGCTGCGATTCAGAAGAGGAAGAAAAGGGGAAAAGGAGGAAGAGGAGGAAGAGGACGCGAACGAGGACGAGAAGGAAGTGGAAGAGGAACAGGAAGAGAAAAAGGAGTGAGGACGTGGGTGAGGCGGGGAAGGAGGCACACTGCAAGCAGCACTCCACACTCGCAACCACCACGCCTACCCCAATCGCCTCTCTCCTGCTGTTCACCTCCCCCACCTCCTCTTCCTCCTCCTCCGCCTCCTCCTCATCATCATCATCATGACCAGTCATCACCATCGTCAGAATCGTCATCCTCATCGTCATCATCATCATCATCATCATCATCATCATCATCATCATCATCATCATCATCATCATCATCATCAGAATCACCAAGACCATCACCATCATCATCATCATCATCACCATCATCATCATCATCATCACCATCATCATCATCACCACCACCACCATCATCATCATCATCATCATCATCATCATCATCATCATCATCATCATCATCATCATCGTCATCATCATCATCATCATCGTCGTCATCATCATCATCGTCATCGTCATCGTCATCGTCATCATCACATCATCATTAGCATCATCAGCATCATCAGCATCATCATCAGCATCAGCATCACCATCAGCATCAGCATCATCATCAGCAGCATAATCATCCTCATCCTCATCATCAGCATCAGCATCAGCATCATCAGCATCATCATCAGCATCATAATCATCAGCATCATCATCATCGTCATCAGCAGCATCATCATCATTTCCATCATCACCACCATCATCAGCAGCAGCATCAGTACCCTCACCACCACCATCATCGCCCTTATCCTCATCATTATTGTCATGTACCCCCCCCTCATCATCCATCTCATCCATCCTCCCACTCCTTCCTCCTCATCGTTCCTCCCGTGCACCTCCTCTGAAATCCCCCCCCGCTCCCACCTCCGCCAACCCATCCCTCCTACGCAGTTCTCCGCATCCTAAGCGGCTGCCTCACTGCTGGGCGCGGCTCCACCGGCGCTGGGCCTGGACATCGGGAGTGGCATCATCAGCACACCAGCGGCCACGGTCAGGCCAGAGCATATGAAAAATCCGACCCTGGGGGGACGCCGACTACACCCTTGACAGCTAGCATGTCGAGGCCGATTCTGGGCCGAGGATCGTTGGATACGCCCTCCTGGCGCGGCCAGGAAGTCACATACAGCGACCCCGGGCCCGCGATCCGCCTGGGCGAGGATCGGTGCAGGCGTGCGGTCGGCGCCCCCCGAGATCCTGTGACTCGTGCGGTCGTATAAGTACCCGAACAATATTGGAGCAGACGTGCGGCCAAGTGCCTGGAAGCTCTGCAAGGCGCCGAGGGCGCGGCCATAGATTGACTTGTCGCACATCTTTGTCAAGGCTGACTGTATTGTAGGAAAGGTAAACATGGTGCCGCCCCCGACGAGCATGAAAGCGACCGCAAACCACCACTGCGAGGGAGCAAACGCCTGCAGGGCGAAAGCGCTGGCTCGCAGGGCAGCGCCGTAAATAACTAATAATCGCTCGCCGAAGCGACTCAGCAGGGGCTTGTACAAGACCCCCGCACACAAGAACATCAGGACTCCAGCCAAAACCATACAGACGCCGAAGAAGCGTGCAGACGCTTTGTCGTCGCCATCGAAATACGTGTCCATCAAATAGAAGCCCGCTATGCTCTCGACGGAGGCGAAACCAAACCTCATGAGGAACCCCGCCGCGAATAGCAAGCCTGCTTTGCAGGGTATCTTGCTTGCAACGAGCGCGGGCTCATCAACAGAGGCCTCGCCGCTTCCTCCGACTCTGCCAGAGGAAGAAAAGACGGAACAAACACAAACTTTGATAGACCCACCCGAATTTCTTGGATCTGCGCTGGACCCCCCTCCCTGGCTCGGCGCCGCCAAGGGGCCCAGCGAAGATCCAAGAAATGCGCGCGGATCACCAAAAAAAACTACGGCCGGGAACGTTCGCTCAGCGGGTCGTGGCCGCGTCCCCAGCGACACGCCATAGTATGCCCTGCGAGCAGACGGCGCGTCGCTCCGTCCCGCGTGGCGTCGACGCTTGGGGACTGGGAAACGGACATCGGAGGCGACGGTAGGGGCGAATAGCCCAGGGGGCAGCAATGCATGAATCCAGAGGCGCCGATGGTCCGTGTCTTCAGCGAGGCTCCTGGAGGGACACGTGCGCTGCCCGCCCCTGGGCTATTCGTCCCTATCGCCGCCTCCGAGGATGGCGTGTCGCGCCGGAGCGTGGTGGGCCAGAACGGGGAGAGCTACATGCTGAACCCAAATTTGTAATCGTATGCTTGTGCCGCCTTTCCCTCTTCGACTCTACCCTCTTGCGCGCACCGGGCCTCGGGGGACACCCCGTTGAGCGGCATCGAGACGTCGGCCTGCCGCCACCTCGACTCGTGGACGAGCGCCACGGCGGCCAGCAAGTTCAGGCCAGACAGCGCGGAGGAGACGTAGCACGCGAAGGAGAAGCCCATGCGAGCGACGAGAAAAAACTGGCCTTCCGAAAGATGACACATCGACGACCTTACGCGGCGGCTTCCGCGGGCCGCCAGCGCGGCAAGCTCCTCCTCCTCCTCCTCCTCCTCCTCCTCCTCCTCCTCCTCCTCCTCCTCCTCCTCCTCCTCCTCCTCCTCCTCCTCCTCCTCCTCCTCCTCCTCCTCCTCCTCCTCCTCCTCCTCCTCCTCCTCGTCCTCCTCCCTGGACACGAATGCACTCGCGCGCGGTCTCGCGCGTGCAGCTCACGCGCCAACGCTGGCGCAGACGACCCCGCTTTTCCGCGTCGCCCAATGTGCGCCAGGAGCCCGCCCACGGCGGGGCCCGCCACGATGCCGACGGCGGAGGAACAAAACGACGGCACGAGCACGAGCTTCCGGAGCTCCGCGCGGATTGCTCGGATCGGCGCGGAGACCTCCTCGCCGGCGAGCGGGGCGCGCCAGGGGCGGAGGCGCCGCCAGGGGGCTCCGCCGCCGATCCAGGAAGCCCGCGCGGACCTCCGGAAGCGAATGCTTATGCTGCCTTTTCTTCTCCGCGATAGAGTTGGCCGCCGACATGTACGACATGTACACGTTCCTCTCCTCGCCCTCCACGGTGACGTCCGCCACGTACGCGCTGGCCACGCCCTGCGAGCTCCCCGAAACCCCGCTCAGGCACCGTGCCGCCACCAGCACGCGCAGCGTCCCCGCGGCCCCGGTCGCGTAGGACGTGGCCGTGGTGCCCAGGAGCGCCAGGAGGATGATGGGCCGCCGCCCGAAGCGGTCAGAAGCCCAGCCCAGCACGGGGGTCGTCAGCATCTGGCAGAACGAATAGGCGGAGGCCATGCCGCCGACCACTGTCCCGGAGGCGCCGAAGTCCTTCACGAGCGAGGGCAGCAGCGGGAAGATGACCCCCAGGTTGAACGTGTCCATCAGCATGACGAGGTAGACGGTACACAGCGCCTTCCGAGAGACGTTCGGCATAGAGGCCGCCCGGGCGCCGTTAGGCGCACCTACCGAGGAGGCATGCCGCTCACGAGTGCACCGCAGCCTGATGGAGCCTGAGAGCAAACAGCTGTGGACGGGGGGGGGAGCGGCAGCACGGGCAGGAGGCGGAGAAGTGGTAGACGGGAGGCGAGACGCAAACAGACGCGCATGTCCGCCAGCTGGCGGGCCTCTTAGGAGCGACGCGGGCGGGCCAGGGCCCAGCCAGATGTGCAGGTGTGCAGGGACATCCTTCTCCCAGTTGTTCCGCAGTGTCTGGCCCCCTGCAATGCCCAACCACGACTTGGCACTGTCCCCTAGAGAGACGTGAGGAAGGCGGCGAAGGTGAACTGCAGGAGCATGAAGAGGAGGCGGCCCGAAGAGAGCCCCCGGAGGTGACTTTTCGGCACCGGGGGCTGCGAGCGAGAGGATCCCCGCATTCTGCCCGATCGCAGGGATCGCGCACCATACGCATTGCGGAGGGTGCCTGGAGTCCTGGCGGCCATATACAGAAAGTGATGTTCTTAGAAAAACAATAAACAAAAGGGAAAACAACAAAAAACACGACCCTGATTTAGAGCCTCCTGTGTCCCATAGCGATTTCATGCAGTCCTGAACAATGAAATGCTGGCCACTGATTGGCATTGCTTGGCATTGCCTGGAAACGTTACGTGCGTTGCATGTCACTGTTTGGCGTTATTTGGCGTTGCTTGTCGTTGTTTGGCATTTGTTGGCAATGCGCGGCGTTGCTTAGAGCCGTTGTTTGGTGTTGCTTGGCATTTTTTTGCATTGTTTGGCGTTGCTTGGCGTCGCTTGGCATTGCTTGGCATTGATTCGGGTTCCTTGGCGTTGATTGGCACTGCTTGGCATTACTTTGTGCTGCTGTGCATTGCCAAGCATCGCCGAGGATCCCCGAGAAACCCTGGGGAACGCTGGGGGCCGCCTCCTTAGTGAAAACGCCGAGGAACCCCGAAGGACCCCGGACAACGCTGGAACGAAGGGCCACCGGCTCCTTTCACACACGAGGTGGGCCCCCCGAGGCAAAGCCTGATCGGGGGAAAATGGGCCTGCCACCCTGGGCGGCACCAGGAAACCCAGGCACACACCGGCCAAGCTTTGGGCACGTTGCCAAGAAAATGTTGGCCGCACGCACAATGGGGGAAGGGGGGGGGGGGGCAAGGCCTCTTAGAAGGAGGCTGCTTCTCAGAAGGCGCCGGCACTACATCTATAGAGAAGCCTTGCGCCTTTTAAAAAGCAGCCTCCTTCTGAGAAGCCTTCCCCCATCCCCCATACCCCCCTTCTGCGCGCCGCCAACATGTGGCGGGCTCTGGACGCCCTGAACCCAAAAGTAAGAAGGCCCCAACGACACACAAAAAATGTACACAAATTCCAGAATTCCCCATATTCTCCTATCTCCTGAATGTTAGGTTCTCCCTAACTTCCCATGTTCTCCATACTTTCGTGGAAACCGACTTCTGCGCGCGGCCAAAAGAACCTCAGGCAGACAGCGGCCCACCGAAGGGCTCGCTGCCAAGACACTGGCGGGCCCAGCGAAGGCAGCCGAAGGGCGCACGCGCGCGCAGCGCTCAGGCTGGCCCGCCGGCCAGCGCCGGCGCGGCCACAGGGGCGGACCGCCAACCGCCTCGAACGACCCGTGGCAGGTCTACACTCCTGTTTCGAGGTTGAAAATATGAAGCTAAAAAAAAAAACTCCACTCGAAGCGCTTTCTCAAGCAGTTAAGCCACGTACAGACGCACGAACACACCACGGCAATAAAAAAGCCCCCAGCAAAACACCTACGGTCTGGTCCAGATTCTTGGTTTTCTTAAAGGAGGTACGAATCCCATGGCATTTGATGTTTTTGCTAAGATCTCTGATGGGCGAAGGTGCATGCGGCGATGGCGCGCTGGCGACGCCGGCGAAGGTTTCCAGGGTTAAACACCAGATGATAGAACGTCGCTGAAGCCCTGAGGGGCGCAGTAGCGCCACAGGACACGACGGGATTCAACCTTGAACGATCGGGGCCGCGATCGGTTCAGGGTTGAACGATCGACGGAACGTCAACAACCTTTGCGCGCGTCGGCGCCGAACGAACCTAGTAAGAGGCGTCGGTATGACATTGTGTTCCGGCAGCTGCCAGATCACAGCGCTGCGATAAGCTCCACCAGCCGGCTCATCGCGCGAGCGCGCAGAACCGAAAATGAAGAGGTCAGAATCCCTGGAGAAAGCCACAAGCGCACTACCCCCCGTCAACCCCTGGCGTCTGAAAGAGAAGGGTCCTGAGCGAAGCGGCTCCTGGATCCCCCAGCCTCAGCTGGGCTGTGTGTGTTGCTGCTTTTGCTACCAGAGCTGCCGGAGGCCCCAGGAGCTCGTTTCCGCGCCGCCCGACCCCCGGTCGGCCCCGCGCTCGGAGCAGAGGGGAAGGCGGCGCTGGTTTGAGCCGGGCGCGGCGCGGGCGGGCGTCGTCGTCGCCCGTTCGTTGTCGTGCTGCGCAGCAAGAACTCGCTTCCCTCATGACTCGCTTCCCTCAAGATCCGCTTGCTGTGTCGCAAGAGAGAAGGCTCGAGTGCGACTCCGAGGAGGCCTCCACGAGGCCCCTTCGGGCTGCTCCCGCTTTCGGTTTCTCGAGGCGCCACTGCCCTCTCTGCTTGGCTGATGCTCCTACGCTTCCCACAAAATAGAAGAAGAAAGACTGCATAAGCATAACTTTCGAAGGTCTGGGCAGACTTCCTGGAACTGCGCTGGACCCCCCTCCCTGGCGCGCGAAGCGCGCCACGGGCGGCGCTGGAGGCGCCTGAGGCGCCGCCAGCGGGACCCAGCGCCGATTCAAGAAATCCGCGCGGAGCTCCGAAAGTTTATATTTACGCAGTCGCGACGGGGAGGACGACGGCGAAGGCACCGCCGATGACGACGATGACGGCGACGGCGACGGCGACGACGACGAAGACGGCGACAACGACGGCGACGGCGCCGACGACGATGGCGACGGCGACGACGACGCCGACGTGGACGCAGACGCCGACCACGGCGAAAACAACGACGACGACGACGACGACGACGAGGACGACGATAATCACAATAACGACGATAACGCCGATAACGACTATAACGACGACGAGGACGACGACGACGACGACGACGACGACGACGACGACGCCAGCGACGGCGACGGCGATGTCGGCGACAGCGACGACGACGACGACGAGAAAGACGACGACGACGCCGACGCCCGTCGACGACGACGACGACGACGACGAAGAAGACAACAACCACGGCCACGACCACGGACAACGACGGCGACGGCGAAGGCGACGGCGATGACGACAGCGACGACGAAAACAACTAAGACGGCGATGGCGACGGCGATGGCGACGGCGACGGCGACGGCGACGACGCCAACGACGACAACGACGACGACGACGACGACGACGACGACGACGGCGGCGGCGTCAGCGACGCCGACGCCGACAACGACGACGACGACGACGACGACGAAGACGGCAACCTCGACGGCGGCGGCGGCGCCGAAGACGGCGGCGGCGGCGGCGATGACGACGACAAGGACGACGACGACGACGACGACGACGACGACGACGACGACGACGATGACGGCGGCGGTGGCAACGACGACGACGACAAGGACGACGACGACGACGACGACGACGACGACGACGACGACGACGACGACGACGACGACGACAACGGCGACGGCGACAGCGACGAGGACGGCGACGGCGGCGACCGCGACGGCGACGGCGACTGCGACGACGAAAGCGACGACGAAGACGAAGACGGCAACGTCGACGGCGGCGGCAGCACGCTGGCGACGACGACGACGACGACGACGGCGACGACGACGACGACGACGCCGATGCCGATGCCGACGCCGACACCGATGCCGACGCCGACGCCGACGCCGACGCCGACGCCGACGCCGACACCGACGCCGACGCCGACGCCGCCGCCGCCGCCGCCGCCGACGACGACGACGACGACGACGACGACGACGGCGACGGCGGCGATCGCGACGGCGACGGCGACGACGACGGCGCTGGTGTCGGCGGCGGCGACGACGACAATTGCGGCGCTGGCGCCGGCGGCCCCTCTCCCCGTGGAGGGGCTCGATTCATACACCGAGTCGTCTCGTAAACCGATGCGCTAGGTGTGCAAATGCCCCAGCTCCCCAACCCGTGGATTACCAGCCTGGAACATATCCCTATCCCTAAGTTGGGCATCGCCTCATCACGATGGCGATCTTAGGGATTTCCTCAGTTTCTGAGGGTGTATCTCTAAGATTGTCATCTCCTTTTAGCGTGTCAATCTTAGGGATAGGGATACGTTCGAGGCTGGTGAGTGGAGCGCCGGAGCTTCTGCACACGGAACTACATCAGTGCACTCGTGGGCCCCATGGCCGACCAAGCGACGCGTTGTACACGCGGAGCCCCTCCGATCCCCGAAGCCCCGCGGCACCGCGCCGCGCCGAGGCGGGGCTCGTCTGCGAGGGCGCGCAGCGCCTGCGACCCCGTCTTCAGCGCCTCTGCGCCAGGGGGGGGGGGGCGCAGGGCGCCCGCTGTGCGGAGGCCGGCCGGAGCAGCCGCAGCCTGAGCCCTAGACATTGAAGGGGCCCCAGGACAC